TCTTTCAACATTTCTTGTAATGCAACTCTTGTGGTAAATTCCCTCAGCTTTTGTTTGTCTCATCTCAATATACACCAAGAAGTGGCAAAACAAGGCTTTGAGCTACTTCTGTCCTACTTGCTCCCTTACCAGTGACATCAAATGACATGTACAACTACATGTTTAAGGTCGAGCAGGGTGCTTTGGGCTATGTGGTGAATGGACACTGCGTGTGCTTTTTTCCTTCATCAAAGTTTATTCTAGCAACAGACTGGGGAGGAGAAGCAGGAGGAGGAGGATGAAGATGGAGAAGGTGTCCCGTGGTCAGGCGTGTCTTCAGGTGCCATAGGCTCCCTGGTGATTAGCGTCCATGAGGGACGGGGGCCCTCATGGGACAGGAGACAGCTGGTCACAGCCCCTGCAGCTCCACGGGGCAGGGGAAGTTCAGGTGTGGTGTCAGCCACTGCTTCAGCTTCAGCCTAATTAATGTTGCCCCCTAAGAGTAAGAAGTTCTGGAGAGAAGGCAAAAGGGCACAAGAAGGGTCATTATCTGATGGAAAAGACAGAAAAAAAACGAATACACAACTTTGAAAATATGCATAGGAGCTTTCTGAAACGGAATCCTTTATAAGGGAGAGGCAAGTTCTCACTCTAATAAAAAACCAGGTTATAACGTACAAAAATCTAGGCCTTAGGCTTTTGTCGAAGGAAATCTTTGTAAAACACCGTCCTTATCAGCTTCTGCCCTCAGGATATTATTTACATTTTCTGAGCTGCTGATTTCTAGAAATCCATGAATGTCACTTTCCTCCAAAACTTTCTTCTCCCTGGAGAACAGTGCACCACCTGGGTGCTGTTTGAGTTTATTCCCCTCACATAATTAATTTCTGGGAATGTAGTCCTGCATCACCTTGGAGTAAGAACATATGAACAGTGAAGACATTGCAAACTAGTATTTCTGGGTTTATATGATGAAATGTACTGTAATCGTCCCTGTCCCCTGCCCCTGATAAGTTTCTTCCTCTAGAAGGCATGGCCAGTATTGCTGCAGGACTGTTCCTTGCTGCTGTGGGTGAGAAGTCTGGCCAGTGGCCCAGCGGGGATCTCACACCACCAAGGAGATTTGGGGCTTGTCAAGGTAGCCCCTCAACCCAGAGGGGGTGCATCTAATCTGACCCCCTTGCACACTCCCTTGCCGTCTGTGGCTAAGGGCCTTGCACATTGTAGATGTTCAGTTAATGTGTTTGAGCTGAATTATTGAGAACTGAGCTATTTTACACGAAGCCAAGATTTCAGATAATCAAAATTTACCATTTATACACCAAAATTCAAAAAATAATTTTCTATGAAAATTAGGTCTATGATGTAAGTGGGAGTTCACGGCTCCCCGTCGTATCCAACCCTGAAGCAGCCCTCCCAGACCCCACTTCTCACTGACCTCACAGATTTGGAGCTCCAAGCTGTTGAAGGAGGTGTCCCTGGGCAGAGGGAACGGGAAACCTTCCTTAAGCTTTGCTGGAAGACAAACAGCGGAGAAAGGTGGGCCACACAGAACAGGCTGGGGAGATGTGAAGACAGAACGTGGTGTTTGGTGTTTGTAGCCGACCAGTGAGAGTGGGCTGCTGAAATGTAGGCTGTTGGATTCAAGGCTGATTTGCGGGGGTTGGGGGTAGGGCACAGGAAACGCTTGGGAAATTTAGCCTCTTCAAGGAGCAGAGAGCCTCTTGGGCTTCTATTAGCCCCTTCAAGAGCCTTCTCTAGAGCACCACCCAGTGGCCAGGGCTGGGCCATGCAGCGTTTACCTCCTGAGGACAACCTTCTCCCCCACGGTCCCTTCCAGGCCAATTTTGCTGCTCTTATTACTCGGTTGTAAAAGGCAGATGGTAAGGCTAGTTGGAGAGGGCCTAGACTGGGAGGATGCCTGCTGGCTTCTCAAGTATCTGTCCCAAGTGATACTTCTCAAGTATCTGTCTCAAGTGATAGGGCCTAGACTGGGAGGATGCCTGCTGGCTTCTCAGGCAGCCACTGTCCCAAGTATCACTTCTATTAAGGTCATCTGGAAAGTCAGTGACCTAACCTGGCTCAGAACCCAGGTGTGCTGACTCCAGGTGTTCATGGTGCCACCTGGAATGCTCTTACTCCCTGGGTCAAACTCCTTATGTTTTGGGACCCAACTTATCCCTCACCTGGACTGACCTCTAACTGAAGTTCAGTGCCTCCTCCAAGCTCCTGGAGTCCACTGTGCTATTGTGGCATTGGTTAAACTTACACGACTGCCTTGCCAACAAAGTGAACTCTATGAGGGCAAGGGTCATGGATTGCCAGTACCCCAGCCAGCACAGAAGAGAGGCTCTATAGAAAGGGTAGAATTCATCGTTTGCATGGGGTAGTCAGCAGCTATTACCGTTGAGAGAGGGGTATATGATTTTGGATGCGTAGAAATTGAAGATGGCTTCCATCAACTCCACCTGGAGCAGAGAGGAGGCAAAGCAAAGGGATCAAATAAGACGAATAAAAACAGCGTCCAAGGAAAGAACATTTGTCTCCACCTCTGGAAACATCGATGTGTCATCCCATCTAAAAAATAGAGGTTGATTGCGACTCACTAGCACAGATGACAGCAGCTTGTTCGCAACTCACCTTCCAAAACCCAAATCTAAACATTCTGCATAAGTGTGTGCAAGCCATTATTTATGGCAAAACATGACCTGAACTGTCATGGGGCTATTTAGTGTTTCTTTATACCACTTCGTGTGAATATTTTAAAATTTTATGGCAGAAATAATGTGTTTGGTTATAGAGTATTGCCTCACAGCCTGTGGAAAGTGTTATATAACCTGGCGCATGCCCTGGATTACCTAAAAAATTCTCACTTCTGAAACCCATCAGTCTTAAAGGCTGCGGATAAGGGATCGTGCACCTGGGTCACTATTATTACAATAATGAACATATATTAAGAGCGTACTATGTGAGACATTCCCCTATGTGAAGTAGCTATTCCCATTTTACAGTTAAGGAAACAGGCTCAGAAAGGTTAAGTGATTTGCCCAAGGTTACACAGCTAGCAAGTGGCCGCGTTGATATAAAAGCCCAGATCTACCTTCCTTCAAAGCTCATGCTTTTAATGTCTGTCCTGTTGACCCTTTAGCTCTCAGGCAGTATCCTTCATGGACGGTTAACATTCAGGCATGGTGTCCCTTTTCCTGCAAGACTGCAGTGCATCTGTCTTATCCGGGACCTCGTTGCTTCTAGAGCCCCATGAAGCCCTGCTTTGAGAGGCCAATCAAAAAATACTGAGAAAACAACTCACATCAAAGAAACCGATGCTGGAGTGTTTCAATTCCAATTTCAGCTTACTGTGTAGAGAAGAGAGAAGCATAGTCATCCCAGGCTATGGCTGGTACTTTTCAGCACTTAGCCTAGTGGGGTGTGCAGTGCTGGCTGGCTGGGCATTTCAGGGGCTGGGCACACAAGGGTTCCTCTGCAATGTGGTGCTCGTGGGTTTAAGCCTTTAAGCATGCACCATTATTTATGAAGGGACATTAAAAATAGTGTTATCTGAGCATCTTTGATAACTTGAAGAAATCATGATATAAATATTAACTAGAGAGAGTGGAATATAAAAAGTAATGTACTACATCTCCCATTATATAAAGATGTAAAAAAAATCCTGGAAGGAAACATGAAACTATTAACAGTGATAGTCTCTATGGGGAAAGGTTATGGATGATTTTGCTTGTTTATACTTTCATAATTCCCAATTTTCTTCTTGTCATGAGATGGATTATTTGCATAATATGGAAATAGACAATAAAAATGGAAAAGAGGCACCACAAATGATGCTGGCAGGCAGCTGGCAGCCACTGGAGTGAAAGAAGGGAGAGTGACTTAGGGCATCTGGATTGCTGTCACTAAAAGCTGAACCCCAATTTCTCCTCTTGATCCCTCCTAACAGGCTTTCCTTTGGCTGCTGACTTGGCTCCCTTGTTCAGAAATTCTGATCACCTTGGACAGATCTCTGCTTTCTGCTCATGGGACAAAGTAATTTTAATCATTCCTTGGTAAAATCCTCATGTGAAGTCCCCTCAAATCCTCTATTTGCTGTCTGTCTCTTCATAGCCTAAGCCCTTGGCTGTCTTCCCCAATACTGCAGAGACCACCCCAAGCCAGGTCTACACATAAACTTAAATTCCAGGACCTCCCAAAGCCCCAAAGGCTCACCATGAGCTTCTCTTTTTAAAGACTTCTTAAGACCTTCGTTTTGATGGAGTCAGATCATTCTATCAGTCAACAAGCATCTAACCGTGAGGCCAGGAATTCGTCCCTTTGATGAACCCATTGCACCTTTACCTCAGCAGGAGGCAGCACCCAGAGTGGGTGAGATGTGGGGCACAGATGAGGGCTCTGGACAGAGGACACTGCAAGGGCAACTCGCCAACCCCAGGAGGCAATGTAATCCCTCTTCCCCAAAGCCCGAACTCTTCACTGACTCACTGGTTAAATAAATACTTACCTATTGATTGGGTATCTGGGCAATGGAGCAATAAGCAGTGGCTTGGGGCACCATTAATCCTCCAACCGAAGTCTCCACTTTTTGATGTTAATATTGACAGTTTTTCTCAACCTTATGTGTAAAGTCATTGTAAATAGCTTCAAGCCCTACCTTTTCCAGCTAGACTAGTGCTCCTAAGTACCCCCTCTGCTGAAGTTTCAGCTCAAGTGAGGAGCCCAAAGTGATAGAGGACCCGAAGGTAACCTCTGCTACCTGACAACTGTTCTCAACTTCTGGCTTTTCTCCTGAGACGTCAATACGCCTTTTCCAGAGGGGGACAGACTTAGAGAATGAGCTGGCCTCAGTGGAGGCCTCTGTTTCCAAGGGACAACCTCAGTTCTATCAGCGAACCAGATTAGATGCTCTGACCACATGTCCTATTCCTTTCCACCCCCAACCCATGGCCTCTCACCTTCCTG